CACAACACTCAGCGTAGTTGTAAGTGGCGTGGTGACCGCTTAAACCACTACGCCATCCGCGCAGTAAAAATGTTACAACATTCTTAATTTAGAATACGGGTGCAGGTCCCGTTTGATCAGTATTTGCCTCTAATTAGTTAAAATAGATAAATATTTATGATGTCAGCCACAATGTGTTTGTTGGTTTTTGGGCGAAATATGGCGAGCTTCTGATACATCAGTGGATTTAATATCTACCTAACCCATTATCTGGCGGTCAGCGCCAATCTCACTCTCTCACAATCACTTTTTCTCCATTACCCAATGGTAATGGAGAAAAACTTGAGCTAGGTACACTTAAAAAAAGGTAATAAATGATAAAAGGAATAATAAAATGGAAACGACGACGACGACCGGATGGCGTAGTGGTTTGTGTAACGGACTGCTATTCCAAAGGTCGCGGGTTCGATTCCCGCTCAAGTCAAACATTTGTGTGCATGAACATTTGATGTTTGATTTGGTCTGGGTGTTTCTATGTATAATATGTATGTATTTACAAAAAAAGTATATATTTATTTATATCAGTTGTCTAGTACCCATAGTACAAGCTCTGCTTAGTTTGGGACTAGATGGCGTTGTGTGTATGTGGTAGAATATTATTATTATTATTATAATTAAACAAATAATATTTTATTAAAAAAAAATTACTTACTCCAACTTCACATTTTATAACATTTATTTATTGTTTAAGATACAAAACAAATAAATATAAATAGTGTTGTACTGTCTCAAATCTATATTAAATATTTAAAATTACCTTATTTAATTGATTTTTTTTTCACCAACACCAACCAACAGCCTATAACAGTCCACTGCTGGATATAGGCCTCTCCTTAGAAAGGAGGTTTTGGCCTACTATACCACGCTGGCCAAACGGGTTGGTATAGGGTTTGTTTCGAGAAGGTAATCTGAGGTGTCGGCCCATGTCGTGCGGTGTTCCACAGGGGTCTGTTCTTGGACCCCTCTTGTGGAACATAGGGTACGACTGGGCCCTTCGCGCCGATTTCCCCCCCGGGCTGGGTGTAATCTGTTACGCAGACGATACCTTGGTGACAGCCCGGGGGGCAAACTTCCAAGAGGCGGCGCGCCTGGCCACAGGGGGAGTCTCCCTGGTGGTCGGGCGCATTGAGGCGCTGGGCTTACGGGTGGCCCTAGATAAGACGGAGGCCCTGTTATTTCATGGGCCCCGTCGTGGTCCACCCCCTGGCGCCTCAATCGTGGTCAACTCGGTCCTCGTACCGGTTCGGGCCCAGATGAAATATCTGGGCCTGATCCTCGACGGGAGGTGGCTCTTCGACGAGCACTTCCGACAGCTTGCTCCAAAGCTGGTCGGCGCTGCGTCTGCCCTAGGGCGACTTTTGCCCAATATGGGTGGACCCAGCGTCGCGACAAGACGGCTGTACACGGGGGTTGTCCGGTCAATGGCACTGTACGGTGCACCGGTGTGGGCGGCGGCTCTGACCGCCCAGAATAGGGTACGCCTCTGGCGCCCTCAGAGGGTAATGGCGGTCAGAGCCATACGCGGTTACCGCACCGTTTCGACGGAGGTGGCATGCGCGTTGGCCGGAACTCCCCCGTGGGATTTGGAGGCGGAAGTGCTCGCCGAAGTTTATCGGCGAGTGGCTGACTTCCGGGCGGAGAGCGGATTTCGCCCTCCGTCGGGCGGAGGGCGAAATCCGCCCGACGGAGCGGGCGGCGTGCGCGAGTGGCGCGAAGCCGCTCGCCGAGCCACGATGGCTCGTTGGTCGTTCCGGCTGGAGACTCCACGCGCTGGCTTCGCCGCCGTGGAGGCTCTCCAGCCGGTCATCGCCGAGTGGGCAGGGCGGCAGCACGGGACCCTTTCCTTCCGGCTGACGCAGGTGCTTTCCGGGCACGGTTGCTTCGGAAAGTACCTGCACTCGGTCGCTAGGAGGTGTGATAGTACTACAATCACGTAATTATAAAACTTCACATAAATGTTATTTTAGACAAGTAATGTTAGAAAGTTATCTACACGTGCATTTAAGGTCTAGACGAACAAAAAGCAGACCCTAATAAATAAGTGAACTTTATGATCTCAAGTATTGCGAAGTGGATGACGGCCCATTATGAACAAAAGACTTATTGCGTTCTTAATACGAATACCATAAAAAAGGGATAGCCAAGGGTCCACGAGAGCAGTTAAAAATAGGCACATGTGCAAGACAGCACACGAATAAGCGTGAGAAAAGCCCTTAGTTGGGAGTCCTTTTGGGAACGTTAAGGGATAAGGAACGGGGTAGTTGGTCTTGAGTCGTAGGACAAGTCGGTCGGTCGGTCTTAGGAGCTAGGAGGCGGAGGTTAATCGTCAAAAGCTAAACGTGCTCGGACGTGCGTATTGCAGCTAGATTGAGTAAGTTAAATATATAGAACGTTGAGGACCGCTAGGTGAGTCTTTATTGGTTATTATGTTTTAGGATTAATATATTATACGTATCTATATTCCAGTCTGAGTAACGTAGTAATAGTTGAGTAATTAGATGTAGTGTCACTGTTTAATTAACTTAAGCATTTGGTATTGGTTAAGGTACCTTTGAATGTGATAGAATGATTAATGACCCTTTATAGGTCTCTTCAGTGTGGTGAATCGATTTATAGCTGAGGTGAGGCCACCCTGGGATGACACCCAGGCCGCTGTCATTGCTATACGGTTATTCTTCGGTGACCCGTTATTGTGGAGTATTTATGATGTGGTTGATACATGCCGTGTGCTTGAGTGAAGGGCGTTTTAATGGGCGGATCCTGTGGTCGGCTTACGGGAAAGCGCTGATGCTGTTGATGAATTGATGGAGATCGAGCGGTCCGAGTCCGCCGTCGGCGCACGCGTTGTGTCCGGTAGCATAAGGGTTAATGCCACATCAGACGAGCAGTATTCATGTTTCTGACCTTGCGGCCTTGACCATTCAGTTGTAGAAGTTGATTGACTCACTCTAAGCTTAAGCGCACATTGAATGGAATTCTGATGAGCAATCACAACCAATACCAATTGTATTTAATTATTTCATTTAGACTTTGATTCCCTCTTACCGCGGTCTTTTGTTGTTTATTCGAACGTTAAAAGCCAGTGGGAAGATGTCCAGTCAGGGTCGAGTCTTACAGCCTAACGCGGAAAATGGAGGAGCGTTAGACCTCCCCCACAGGGAGGGGAGCTGGCTACGTGTTTTAATAGTTGAAAAACTGCTTTACTCAGGCTAGGGTATTTGAGGTACCATCACAGAGGGAAGTGAGTCCCGCCTGCCACCACTGCGACTGCAGTGAGGACTCGGCCCAGCACACGCTGGCGGTCTGCCCCGCATGGGCGGCGCAGCGCCGGGCCCTCACTGCAGTCATCGGAGTGGATCTCTCGCTACCGGCCGTAGTACGCTCCATGGCCGGTAGCGACAGTTGTTTTACCGCGGTCGCAACCTTCTGCGAGGTAGTAATCTCGCGGAAGGAGGCGGCGGAGAGGGCCCGGGAGGACGACCTCCACTCGGACCCGATCCGCCGCCGGCGAACCGGGCGGCGGAGGCCCGCCTATCACAGCCTCATGCCGCCCTGAGTGTGGCCGCGGGTGGACGGGGTGGGTTTCCCCTCCACCCGCATTAGTTTGGCCAGCCGCGAGGGGGCGGCGTCCGCGTGTGCCGGACGTCGCCTAAAGAGAGGAAAAAATATATTGAGACGGAGCCCGCACCAGGAGCGGGCTGGCGCTAGGAGGGGTCCGGATGTCTTAACAACAGCTGTTCCCGGATCCCTCCTGTTACAGGCGCAGAGTGGCACACCGTGTGGTTTTAGTCGGTCCGAGTCCGACACACCACCCCGCCGCAAACCCCGGAGGGGTGACGGTCCGAGGGGATTTCCACACGTTAAAAAAAAAAAGGGTTTGTTTCAAATTGTCCTTCTCTTAGCAGTGATGTCGTCCTGCGTAGTTTGCTCCCTTAGCCGGCTCTTACGACACCCACGGGATGAATAGGGGACAACACGGACTTTTTTTTTGTAAACCTAAATTCGCCTTTATTAAGCATATTTAAGAAAAATAAAATTCTAGATACTCAATACTCAAACATTGAAATTTTTATAAAGCAAACAATCTTCAACTTTGTGTTTCTTATATCTAATAGGGCACATAGTAAATATACCTATACTAGACACAAGACAAGACACAATCCAAATAAATGGTTTTTAATCTAAAATTAGAGGTCATGCTCATATTATACAGGTTGTTAAAGAAATCTATGGTCAACAACAAATTATAATTGTTATGGTTACTGCCGCTAGTTTTTTTTGTCAGATGGACATCTTCATTTAGTTCATTTATATAAAAAATAAGAACTTAATTATTTTGATATTAGCCTTTTTGATATTCTTATTTAATTTAAAATTCAAAGTTTACTCAAAAGTTAATCTATTGTTTTTTAACGTCAGGGGGTACACTAATGCTACTGCTGCGTAGGGACATCTGCAACTCAAGGGATATAAAAACCGAACGAGCTGACCCATATTATTATGTGTCGAAGTATAACTCACCCACAAATAAAGGAGAAAGCCGTTTTTGGGAAAAAATTGCCTATTTTACTTAATTAACCCATTTAAATCTTAGTCTCAATTACAATGGCAAAGTATAGAAAATAGGTTTTCTATTTATTATTTAAAAAAAAAAATTGCAGCACTTATTTTTAATTATATGTTACTTCACAAACGCTGTCATAATATCCATGGAGCGTCCTAACTCAGAATATCGATTTTTGGAACTCGATACTTTTACCTGAAAGCTAAACCTCCTTTCTAAGGAGAGGCCTAGGCCTATGTCCAGTGCAGTGGACTATTAAAGGCTGTCGATGTGATATTTTACAAATAAACAATAATTTATTGTTTTATTATAGTTTTTATTGTTCTCCTACACAACCCTAAGATGTGACTACTCCTTCTTGTGACTTTTGAATGCTATCAATAATCCCTTAGTTCTATTAAACTTTTCTGGGTATCAAATCGTAACGAGCTGTCGGGTCTCTCAGCCCGAATGAGCTTTTTTCGAATTTCACAGGATAATTACTTTGTTCAGCCAAGGTAAAACGATGCAGCAGCCACGCAAGGCCAACCTTCACTTGCAGTCTTGCAAACCTTGATCCTGGAAAAAAAAAAAAAAAACAATAAATACTTTCAATTTAGCTGAAGAATTTGTTGTATGAGCCCTTCTAGTTAAGCTAATTTAATAATTTATATTCGTTTAAGGTCACACAATTTTTACATTGACTATGATAGCCACACTTTTTTTTTACTAGTGGAAACCCCCTTGGCCGTCATCCCACCGTAGTTTGCGACGGGATGGTGTGTCGGAATCGGATCGACTAAAACCACACGCTGCGGTTGTAATAGGAGGGATCCGGGACCCGCTGTTATTAAGACATCCGGACCCTCCTAGCGCCTGCCCGCATGATAGCCACACTTGGTGCAGCCTGTATTGTGGCTATCAGTGATTACGATTGACTTACGCTTAGGACTTAAACTATTACAAAGGCATTCAAAAATTAAATAACATTATAAATAGCTGTATATGAATGTGTATATGTCACGTGCAAATACTTCTGTTCTGAGTGGGTTGACGTCAGTAATGCACTGGGTGGAGTTCGAACCTTATGTTAGGCTTGCTATTCCCAGGTCATTTATATTTTATGTACAGTGTGCCATACTACATCTAAGATGTGTGGTTTTCGCCGGTTCAATTCCGATATAACACCACACTGTAAACTCCGGTTGAGTGGGTTTCCACAAACACAAAAAAAATTGACAAAAGCAGTGACAATAAACATGATTTAATAATTTTATAGTGTCAATAATAATAGGCATATCATAGTGTATGGTTCTCTATTTCCTAAATACCTAAGATATTTTGCTCCAGTCACGACCGAAATCTTCGATCAACAAATAATATGCTTCTTCTTTGCCCCCCTCACACTTCCAACTTCATCAATTCTTCCTTCTATGTACAGTCAGTTCTTCTCTGGAATGCGCTCCCAGTTGAAATTAGGATGTCCACTAACCGGTTTACGTTCAAGAAGAAAGTACAAGAACTTCTACAAAATAAGTTGGCAGAAAGGTCACATCGCTAGTACCCGACTATGTGTTTTTATATTTATGTATTTATAAATGTGTATATTCACCTATTGTATGTGTATACTTGAGACCTCTATGTATATATGTAGTTATGAATATAGTATTTTATTTATAGTATTTATAGTGGTAGTGTATATATGTAAGTTAGATTTATCCAACATTAATAATATAAACAAGTCAAATTCTCTGTTTTCTCTTGCACCTACAGCTTCATTTTTCTACATCACCCGAAGGTCGACTGGCAGAGAATGCCTTGGGCATTAAGTCCGCCTTTGTACAACTAGTGCATTAAGTTAAATAAATAAAATAAATAAAATATTTTTTGGTGATAGCTTATTGAGTTCATATTTTAATGATTTTGTATTCGACTCGTAATATTTTTTCCATAAAATACTATAAAAATCGTATGTAATAATGTAGAGAAGACGCTTTCAAATAGTCCACAAGTCCTTGTTATTTAAAAAAAAATCCATGTGGTATTTAAAAAAAAAACAATTTATAGGTATCCTAATGTAGAGATTATTTGCCAAATATTTTAACATTCATTTACTCACCAATACAAATCCGGTTTCCTTCGCCGAAAGGTAAATTAGTGTAATTTGTGATTCCTTTAGAATTATCAGGTCCAAATCTCTCGGGATCAAATTCTTGTGGATTTGGAAAATATTTCTCGTCTCGATGAATTGCGAATACGGGCACTTGCACGGTAGTGCCTTTTTCAATTTTCACTCCACTTGGTAACACTGTATTTCTAGTACACTCTCTTTGAATCACACCCACTGGTGGGAACTTTCTCATCGCCTCATTCAATACCATATCCAGATACGGTAGGTTTTCAATATCTTTGTAGGTTATTTCATTCTTACCCGGTACAAATATGGCATCTATTTCTTTATGTAATTTGTTAAGAACTTTTTGATTAGATGAAAGTTCAAGTAAAGTAAAATGCATCGCGTTAGCTGAAGTGTCAGCTCCGGCTATGAAAAAGAAAAATGCTTGACCAGCCATTACTTCATCAGTCGGTTCAATCTCATACCCAGTTGAAGGATCCTGCATCACGCCATTTTTTTGCAGTTCTAAACATGTTTCTATAAAATCATAACGTTTTGTATCATTACCAAGTCTTCTATCAGCAAGTACACTTTTTACAGCACCGACAAAAAAGTCTTCGTAATCAGCGAAAAACTTCAGATTCAGAAAATTAAAGAGTTTTGGAAACATGTCAGCCATAATGATAAAGAGGTTTGTTTTAAGGGTTGGCTCTACAGATTTCCGTGCCATTTCCAAGAAGGGCGAATTCATTGTGTTTTTCGTTTGAGTATCAATACCAAATACCGAAGCCCCTATTGACGCTGTAGTGTAAGTATACAAGACATTAAACGGTGTTTTTCTCATGTTCTCATCGCTTTCCACCAATGATACGAAATCACGGGCACATTTTTCTAAAATGTAAAACATGTTTTTGAGTTTTGCGCTTGTGAACACTGGTGATAATTTCTGTCGCATCAATTTCCACCTCGGAAAATGACTCGCAAAGAGAAGGTTATCGGATAAGATGTCATTTGGATTAGTATGTATTCCACGGCTGTAAAAACTTTGGAAATCGCCAGCAAACACAGCTTGAATGTCTTCCACAGTTTTTACTATCAGTGAAGGAACACATGCCTGAGTGGTCCCAATGTAAGGTGCATCATATTTATCGTAAATTTCTTTGCATATCTCAGGCATCGACCGATTATCAAACATAAATTTGAACAGTAAATCTTCAACCTGAATTATATTCTTCTTCTTCCAGTAATTGCTATTCTTTGTTTTTAAATATACCATCACCAATACAACACATAGTGTAAACAATAATAAATATAACATTTTTTCTAATTAATATGGAACGATTTAAAAAGTTATGCTTGTTAACGTTTGAGAGCGGTCGTTAGCACAGTATCACGTTCATATAATGACTGGACTTTATATTGTATTCTGTAAATACTTAGTCGATTCTGTTATCATCGTATCTGTTTGTCCGGTTCAATTCCCTAATAACTATTTTACCGCGTCATCGATGAAATTACGATCTTGTGTACTGATGTATAGTATACAAAATCGAAGGCCTCATTTAAAATATATGGCACTTTTCAGCAGATATTTCAATAATTGATCGATGAGTTTTGGAAACATGTCAGCCAATATATAGCAGTCTGTTTTATAGGTTGGTTCTACAGATTACTCAGTTGGTGCATAAAGGCTATTTTTTAATTACACTGACTTTTACAAAACTAATAAACTAGGCTGGAAAAACCTTACATGACCTCATTGGGCATCCATTTCGATATCAAATTAGTGTATCATCATCAGCCTATCGCAGTCCACTGCTGGACATAGGCCTTTCCCATTGCACGCCATTTAGATCGATTTTGGGCTTCTCGCATCTAGCTCCTGCCAGCCATCTTGCGCAAATCGTCACTCCACCTGGCAATTAGTGTATATAGTACAAATATTAGGTTTGGTAAAATATATAGCAATTTTGCCAATCCAAGCCACCGAGTTAAGAACCCCAAGAATTTTGTGAATGTAGCTGTGTCAGGTTATATATATTTTTGTAATCCTATGTACATATAATTCTCTACATATATATAATATGTTTAGGTAGAGTATATATATATATATATGTTGATATATTTATGCTATTATATTATTTAATAACGACGTAAATCAGTACGACAGTCAATAATCTACACTATTTTATTACAAGATAAATATGATGATAAAAAAATATTGTGTCATAACATGTCTAATACTAAGCAAATAATTTTATTTTTGGAAGGCACATGATTTATCTGTTTGTTGAGCTTATCGAAAGTCTCATTAAAATAATATGTTTACATGATTTGGCATTTTTAGTAGATAGTTAACTCATTAGCTACAATAAATAAGTTTCTTATCTTCTACTTTATTATTATTTAAAATAAATAAATGAAAAGAAGTACAGGCAAGGTCGTTACTCTTATTAATATTAAGACTGATAAGAGTATTCAAGTCTAATGTACTGAAATGTCCTTTTATTAACCGGAACATTAACGGTACTAACATAAAGAAAACTGTTTGATTAAAACGTATCATGTTGTCGTCGATTTTTGTTTCAATTACAGTGGGAAAGCTATGCGTCGGCACATATGGTCCTTCAAATAAAATATACTGCATAGTGTACCAATTCGACCCTCACACTCCCCTCGGATACCATCCAACGGTGGTTATGTCGGACTCGAAACGACTAAAAACCGCACGCCGTCTTGGGTACCAAATGCCGGTGAACCAGGTGTACCCTAGGAAGGAAATCCCTGATACCCCGACGTACTTCGGGCAATCTACGGCGTGTAGAAAATTGCCTTTTGTGCTCCCGAAAGGGCACGCTCGATCCGCAACGCGTCATGCCACCACCCCGGCCTGCTTCTGCTAGGGTCACAGATGACCTCACCTACCACCCCCAGGCCTGCGCTTATGGAGGACGAAGGTTGTTCTGCAACCTCCGGCGCCGGAGTCGTCTGCGGTACCTGGCCTATTCCCGAGCCTGGCGGGCCGGGACGCTTCTAAAACTCTCCCGGTCCCGCTCAGACAACTCCTTTGCAAGCATAACTTGCTCGCAGAAGGAGACGGTGGAGTTCCACGCACTTTCGCTCCGAAAAGAGCGAGAGAATTCCCACTCCGTAAGCCACCACGAGGCAACACCTCTCCTCCACACGCGCCTAGCGCCGTGTCCACGGTCCAGCCATCGCAGTGGTGGCACTCAAGCATCCTTTCCCGGTGATCATAGGCGTCAACCGGTATGAGAGGGTTCCGTGATGCCTCTCGAGCCAATCCTACATAACGGGTCTTACCGCCGCGATAACGGCGTACCCAGCGCCAGGACACTCACCGCCTCAAAGGAGATCGTGCGGTACCCCCTTATGACCCTGGTGGCCAGTACTCGCTGTGGTCGTCGCAGTAGTGCGACGTTGCTGGCCTTTAGGGCCTCCATACTCATACTGGGGGGCCATAAAGAGCCATGAACCGCACAACCCCCGAGTGGAGTCTTCTGCAGGAGTCATCGGGGCCCCTCATGTTGGGCATCAGCAGCCAATGTACGCTCTGCTCCAACCAACTTTTGGACCTGACCTCGGAAATGATGTCCGAAGTCCCATCGGCCATTAAGCACTCGCCCCCCTAACTCCTTTAAACGATGGGAGTTAAGTAAAGATAGTAAGTGATTAAACTGAAAAAAGAAACCGAAAACATTGTTCGTTGTTTAGCTTATTGATTTAATTACATTTTAGTTTAATAAAAACAATTACTTTCTGCACCCAATCTCAATTCCAAAGTTTGTGCATTCCATAATCGAATTACTGATTCTATAAAGAACTATAAAAGAAAAATGTGGGATGCGTAATTCATTTATGCTTACATTATTTTTAAATTATTCGTTTCCTGAATTTCATTCCTCTTCTGCTCATTTTTAATTTTAAAATTATGGAAAATTTTGTTAAACTTCAAATTGCATCATGAATTTCAAACAATGCTGATTATTTTACGAGTTTATCAAAAGTTATCTAGCCATGACCCTAGTGTTATCTTTCCAACAGCCAATGTATTTGTACGAGTATACAATGACAATCATTTTGTGTGACAGTCAATTTCTTTTATTTATTCTTTTTCCTTCGTGTTTAGTTTTTATCTCACTCACTAATGCTACTTAATTTTCTTTAATCCCTTCTAAAGAACATAAATATTTTTTTAAATATAAATAAAAAAAGAAAAGATGAGAAAAGAAAATACGTTTATTAGTCACAACACAAACACAGCCAAAAAAGGGATTACAGATATAACATTGATGAGAAAAAGAAAAGAAACAATTTGCACAACTGAAAAATATCACAAACAATAACAAAAACAAACAAGTACAAAAGAATAAAATGATCACTGTGTGTGACTAAAGGGCCACAACTCAGCCTATGCTATAGTCCCTAAAAGTGACCACAGCGCTGATTTTCAGCTGAAGCCCAAAGGTACCTCACGGACGTGTGCACAGTTCAATTACAATAAACAATATGTGAATACAATAAACATACAAATAAAAGTGATAATTACATACATTAATTACACAACATACATTCTGTTAATATAATAAAGATATCAAATAACTAGTTAGTCGGAAATAAATAGATATAAGAGCAGAGAACAAATTATATATACCATAAATATATAAATATAAATAAATAAATAAATAAATTACCATTACCATTAAATAAATATATTTACCATGTATTTACCATTATGTATTTATGTTGTTTTATCAGACACAATGTTTTTTTATGGCATATGGATAAACGACCGGTGGTCACCTCAAGCTGAATGGCTACCACCGCTTATGAGTCACAACTGGCCTCAATTATTTTCCTCACTCACTCAGTGATCAGGTTTTCTGTGTAGCCGTTGTTTGACCCTGGTTGAGCCGGTTCATACGAGCTTAAGTACGGTTCTCCTACAACAAAAACAACACTACTTTATTTTGTTTATACTTTAAGACATTTGTTTCCATACTGTTACGTTGTTTGCTTAATTTTTGATGAACCATTTCATATGTTCAAATTCGTATTAGTCATTTTTAATACATTGAAAAATGACAATATTAACAACACACAATGACTTCTGCTTCATAAGTTACAATATTTTCGTTCAGTCGAGACGAAATAAAATAATAAGACACTCATTAAGCACTGTTTGTAAGAAATTTATTTATTTAACTTAATGCACAAGTTGTACACAGGCGGACTTAATGCCCAAGGCATTCTCTGCCAGTCGACCTTTGGGAGATGTAGAAAAATTATGCTGTAGGTGCAAGAGAAAACAGAGAATTTGATTTTTTATATTAAATTTATTCATTTAAGATAAATCTAACTCACATATATACACTATAAATAAAATACTATTTTCATTACTACATATACATATACATAGAAGTTTCAAGTATACACGTAAAATACATGAACATACACATTTATAAATACTTAATATAGGTACTAATAATATATGTTGCCTACATATATTTTATTGCCCTATAATTGAAACGTAGTCAAATGATCTCGCCATTCTTATATTTAAATATGGTTCTTGTATTTTTTTTTGCGTTTTCTGTAAGTCTATTCTTAATCCGTCACCACATGGATATGGCCTCGATATCATCACTACGTTTGAGCTGGCCCATTTGTGCCGAAGCATGACTCTATGATGATAAATAATAAATCGGCAATCGGGGACCACAGTACGGATAAAAGGGAGCGCACGACACTGACCTGGGCAATGAAGTGACGATGTGGGACTTCATGGAAAGGGTGCGATGTTCGATGGTCACGCCGAGGTATTTCATGCCCATGAGCTTCAGCTATGGTAGGGTCTAGTTTCCTTTGGAGTCTTCGCCACGTTGGTTATCAGCTTCCAGACCTTCAGCCAGCTGGGAAGTGCCTCTATAGTACGCTACATCATGGTAACAGCGTTGACACTAAAGACAGGCAACTTCCCTGTGGCACACTTGCACAGATGGGTGGCTCAGTGGACAGGCCGGTTTTAAACGTCACTTGATAGCGCCTGTCCTGCAGGAACGTGACCACAATCTTCACTCCTCGACAGGAAGTAGTTGATACGAAGAGCTTGCACAGCAGACCAGTGTGCCAGACGCCGTCGAACGCCTTCTTCATATCAACGACAGAGTGCAACGACCCGTGATGTCCTACAGTACCCTCGCCAGCTGGTGTGTCGTGAAACACGAAGTTCCCTTACTAGCTTTAACAAATATATTCATTCATCTTTTATTGTTTTTACCGCCATCTATTATGAATCTATTGAACTACAACCTAATATTTACATTAATATTCAATGACCTTTGTGTGAAAATAAATATTAAAATATACATTATTTTTATTGCTTTTTAAACCAAAACACAACAGTAAATTCCATTTACTTTATTGCTTTTTTTAAATAACTCATAAAGTGTAATAATTTTTAAAGTAGTTAATGAATTTTTATCTAAAAAAGCCCAAAAAATATTGCTCCTGATAAGCTTTACAGTGTGCTTGAATAACTTCTATCAACAACTTAGTAATTTAAAAAACAGACAGTTAGACATTTTAAAAAGTGATTTCATTGTGTATTCATTTCTTAAGTACTCGTATGTTGAATCATTGATTTTTCATACAATTTTGAAATGCACTCACATTTAAAACACTTTTTCCATTATTGTATAGATTAAGAAGCGCCTACACTATAATCAGGAGCAATGATCGTATACTCACTATAAGTTCGTTTTTTTTATATCTCCCCGCTGCGTACCCGCAGCGAACATTGAAAAGTAAATTAATAACGTAATAATTTAAAGTTCCATTGAGCTACTTAAGGAACCCCATCTTGGAATGAAAAACATAACAACATGATAAACTTATGCCAAGATAAAAAAAAACAAACCTTCAAGAAAAGAGCGTACTCCTTTCTCAAAAGGCATGCAACGCGCTTGTGAGTGAATCTTGAGTTGCAGGCGTTTCATTCATTTCCATTCCCTATTCCACAAAAAAAATAAAAAATAAAAACACTAATAGTAACAAAATTGAGAATGTGTAATAAATCCTAGAAGAAACCTAACTATTATGCAAACAAAAAATTTATGTGGCCATGGTTTTTATTTAATAATAGAATAGATGTTTTCTCTTCACTCAACTGAAGTAAACTGATGTAAACTTCAACCTTACAGAGAACCGGTGTTTACCAATTTATCTATTGTTTTTCATCATATGAGTGACGTTTCCGGAGAGTAATCCAGCCATTCAAAGGATGGTAGAGTTGTGTTTGCACCACCTACTATTCACTTTTATTAAATAGCTATTATTCTACTATCAAATTCACAATAAATACACAAAATATTTTCATCGTGCTGTGGAAAACATCTAAAAATCTATTGACTATCATTATTTAACTATTTACGTTTCATTAGATACTTTAAATGAGGAATTATAATTACATTTAATTACTTCAAACAATAAAAAAATAAACATAAAACCTTAAGCAATTCTTTCGTTGCCTGTCACTGAGTGAGTGAGGTTACCGAAGCCCAAATCCACCGAGTCCCTCCCGCTAACTCGAGCGGGAGGGACTCCTAGGGCAGCAACGCGCTTGTGAGTTGCAGGTGTCCATGGGCAGCGGTAGATGCTTACCATCAGGTGACCCGTCTGCTCGTTTGCCCCTTTATACCATATAAAAGAAATTGAAATTCAGAAATTTTGCATTCAACCGATTTGTAAAAATATCTGAAAAGATTTACTTGCAGAAATGAATATGATTTTAATTCAATTATAACTTATTGCAATATTTTCTTGATATTTTCATCACTTCAACAACTTTATTATGCTAAGTTCAAATATTTACAACTTACTGCACATTTGCACAAAGGCGGCTTAATTCCGCCCAGGGCATTCTCTGTCAGTCGACCTTCTATAATATTTACCCTAAGTACTAAAAGAATGGTAATTTCTGGTTAGTATGTACAGGAAGATCAAAATTAATACTTCAAGAAATATTTAATGTTTATTTCAATTCATGTTTACATTGATTACACATTTTACACATTAGAGTTTGTGACAATTCAACTTAGTCTTGTTTCTTGAGTCTTTCTCAATATATCTGCAGTGTCCTCTTTATTCTGGACATAGATCTCTGACAATCAACTTATAGTACGCTTTAGAAGCACGAAGAGCAAAGGAGTGTCTTTCAAATTTAGGTTTGTAAATCTGCTCGGCCAAGGTAAACCGTCTTAATAACCACGCCAGACCAACCTTCATTGTAAGACGTGCCATTTCTAACCCTGAAAAAAAAAGTAAATCTGTAAACTGTACAATACAAAACTTTATTCCAATGTTGATGCATTACAATGAAATTAGTAGGGGTAGTATAACAGGCAAGCTTCATAATAGTTAAACTGATTAGTGCCATCTTGTTATAATTTTAGTATTATAAAATATTTTTGGCGCTATTGTATATTGGATTTGGATTGTGTCGAAAAGGACATAATTCAAAATGCAATCACTGCACGGATGGCGTAGTGGTGCACGGTCGCCACGCCGCTTCCTACTACGTCGAGTTCAAACCCCACATGGGACGACACTTTGTGTGATCCACAAATTGTTGTTCTGAGTCTGGGTGTTCTTTGTGTCCGTTTCATATATGTTTGTTAAGTCCCCCGCGACACAGGATTTATTCCTAATGCGGGCGTTGTCTTTCAAAAAAAAAATGTACCCATAAATTAAAAGTAAAAAAAACTGTGGCAATGTGCGGCAAATGATCTTTTAAACATTTTTTATTATTACAACAAACGTCTACGACCAACTTTTAGACCTTAAATGCATTTTAGCATTTACATTTATGTATCAATTAACTATTTCTGAATAATTAAAAACCTAAACAACGTAAGACCATCGAAATGAGACCTGCGGAATTATAACATATGAATAAAGCCACGTAGGTATCGAAATGAAGTCTTTTTCTTTATATATATTTTATAACACTAATACCTACAAATAAATACCTACGTAGGTACTTAGGTACCTAATGATGATTGTATATACTTAGGCTTTTTGTCATATTATATTATTATTAAGCGAGATTAAGTTATTCTTTATCATCATTATTTGATTTTTGATATAGTAATGAAGTAAAAATTGTTCAGACGAACTCGTATTAATGCATTTTTTATTAGGTCTTAGCTCTTAGCCGTCTAAAGAAAAAAATCTTAGAATGTTATTCTGTAACCAATAAAACCATTTCTTTTCGTTGGCCGGCACTTTTTTTTGGGTACTTTTTGTATGGAGCGTGAATGATGACCTTTATCTGTATTTAAGAGTGAAAAAAGCAGCTACTAGTTTTAAACGCGAACCGTTTGAATTCTTATCGTTTAAATCATCAAACATAGTATGGTGGTAACTTGAATCCTAACTAAACCTATTTAACGAACATAAATTAAAAAATAATATACAACCTTAATAAATACGACCTTCAAACCTTCAAGAAAAGAGCGTATTCCTTCCTCAAAGGCTGGCTGTGAGTTGCAGGAGCATCCGTCAAAAAAAAAAAAATTAAGCATAAGTGATGTTATTGATCATCGACTCACCGATACAATTTCGATTTCCTTCACTAAAAGGTAAATACATATACTTCATTTCAGAAATACTGTCCTTACAGAATCTTTCAGGTTCGAATAGATCTGGAACCGAAAAATATTTATCATCTCTGTGAATGGCAAATATTGGTATAACAACTGCAGTGCCTTCCTCGATTGCCACATTGCTTGGTAGTACAGTGTCTTTTGTGCATATCCTTTGTATAAAACCTATTGGAGGGTTCATTCTCAGGGATTCACTGATAATCATATCAAGGTATTCTAGTTTTTCAATATCATTATAAGATAGTTCTTCTTTGTAAGTTCCGAATACGCCGTCAATTTCTTCATGTAGTTTTTCTAGAATATGTTTATTATTCGATAATTCTATTAAAGTAAAGTGTAGAGCATTAGCTGTTGTGTCTGCACCAGCAATGAAAAAAGCAAAAGCTTGTGCTGCTAATCTTTCGGTAGTAGGCGTTATTTCACATGTAGTGAAGAAATCTTGCATCATACCTTTATATTGCAATTGTAGGCAAATTTCAACAAAATCGTGCGTTATTCGAAAATGACGTCTTCTATTCTCCATAAAACTCTTCAGCATACTAATAAAAAACTTTTCATGCTCTCCAAAAATTTTCAATTTTAATGCTTTGAATAATTTTGGAAACTTGTTGGCAATAAATATTCTTATTTTGGTTTTTAGTGATGGTTTTAACAATTCCCAAGACATATCTAAGAACGGGGAATCCATTTCACTGTTTTTAGCTTGAATATCAACGCCAATTATGGAAGCACCAATTGATGCTGTAGTGTAGGTATATAAAAAACTGAATGGTTTTTTCCTGGCATGTTTATTATCCTCTACTACTTCTACTAAATCACGGGCACATTTTTCTAAGATATAAAACATTTGCTTCAGCCTAAAACTTGTAAATGCAGGTGCAATGGAGTGTCTTATTAGTTTCCATCTGTTTAAGTTGTTCATGAAGAGGATATTGTCTGCTAAAATATCATTAGGATGTGGCTGCATCCCTCGGCTATAAAAGCTTGAAAAATCATCTGCCAGAACTGCTTTAATATCTTCAATATTTTTCAAGATCAGGGTGGGCGTAGACCCCATAGAAGTACCAATGTAAGGTGTGTCATATTTATCATAAATGTTTTTGCATATCTCGGCCAAAGAGCTTCTTGAAAACATAAATATCCAATTCAAATCCTCTATCTGCAGAATATTTCTCTTCTTCCAATAATTATTTTTGTTGGTTTTATACCAAATAACAAACAACACTACACAAAGAGCTACCAATATTTCAGATAACATTGTCACACTCAACCTGCTGAAGGTATCCTGATGGACTAAATTGTTATCATTATGCTAGGTCATTTATATTTGATAGAACAATATAAGTTAAGAGCATGCACATTAAATAGTAATTAGCTTAGATTACAATCATTTTTCAATTAATATCATAGGTATCTTTTATGGCCATATATATTCTGATAATAGAACTAGGAAACCGGGTGATGAAGCGGTTTCAGTTTATTTATTTTAAAATTTTTGTAGTGTCTTTACAGGATCCTTCTCCCACAACGATTCTGTAACTAATAAAAATAGTAAGTTATAATTATTTTATGAAGAAAAATATTATTTTTTTCTCTTTGTTTTTCAAACAAAATACACATTTGGGCAACTTCTTTGACGGTCGACAGATCAGACAGACAGATCGACGTTTGAGATATCTACATGTATTGAAACAATATTAATAGGGCATATTGAAGCAAATTTGATCGCGCTAGTTAAAATGGATGCAAACGATGATAGCGGTGCCACATCTAAGCAAAAAATAGCAGCAGCGCATAATATATTTTCACTATATTTTGAATGAGATTCAATACGAATATAATGAAAATTACCTTGACTGTAATTTAAGTTTATAATTTAATTGGTGCTTTGTATCAATTATAAAACGTTCAGTGGAATGATATCTAAACTGTGAGGAACCGTTTTATTTATTGTAAGATACAGTGTGAGATTAACATGTCGAATCGAATGTCGAAGCGAAAACGTTACAAGTTAATTTCGATAACAGTTTTTAAAAATCCAAAAAAAAAAAAAAAAAATGTAACGATATATTTCAATATATTTTGTAAACCCAAAGATTCCATTAAATGCCATAGGTCGTCCAGGTTCAGATCAAAGTTAAGTCTTATAAACATCCAACGGTGACGGTGGTGACGGATTAAGAATACGGAGTCTCACCACCCCTATTCTTCCCGTGGGTGTCGTAAAAGGCGAATAAGGGAGCTAACGCAGGACAACCAGCACTGCAAAATAAAGGAAAACTTGACACAAACTCTATACCAACCCGTCTGGCCAGCGTGGTATAGTAGGCCATAAAAGGCTGTTGATGATGTGATGTGATGAAACATCCAATCTTTTTCAATTCAACTGGGTATAACATATCAAAGGTGATAGGGCGTCACGTCTGACAGTATTTACTATGACACGACGTAAAACCCTCAGTCACATAAATAACTGTTTTGTTGTCAAGAAGGCCCGGGACTGTTTCGCCAATGATTTCGGGTCACTAGTGGTCAAGATGCGCCTCGCCCAGACTCGAGTTCTCGAGTTCCCCGGGGCTGAAGGCGCAAAGACGGTGGACACATTTGTCGAGAAGCTGCGGGGAATATTTGCAGCTGCTGCAGCTGCGTCGGGCTACGATAGTTCTTTGGTCGACCCGGCTGGAGGCTCCATGTGCTGGTTTTGCCGCCGTGGAGGCGCTATAGCTGGTCATTGTCGAGTGGGCAGGGCGGCAGCATGGGACCCTTTACTTCGCTAGGAGGTAGTTGCGTCGCGCCTGTCAGCACTGCGATCGCAGTGAAGTCTCGGCTCAGCACACGGTGGCAATTTGCCCGGCTTGGGCGTCGCAGCGTTGGGTCTCACCACAGTTATCGGAGGAGATCTCACGCTACCGGCCGTCATACGCTACTTGGCCGATAGTGATAGTTCTTTTACCGCGGTCGCATCCGCACGCCGTCTCACTAATAGCCGGGGAACCAGGTATACCCTAGAAAGGAAGTCCCTGGTGCTCGCACCTCATGCCCTGAGTGTGACCGCGGGTGGACGGGACGGGATTTCCTCTCAAGGCGCCATAACGGCCAGCCGTGAGGAGGCAACGTCCGCATGTGCCGGACGCCTAAATAGAGAATGTACCCGAAGGTTGTGACCGCGCTGTTGCGGGCAGGCGCTAGGAGGGGTCCGGATGTCTTAATAACAGCAGTTCCTGGCGCCCTCCTATTACAGGCGCAGAGTGGCACACCTTGTGGTTTTAGTCGGCCCGATTCCGACATACCACCCCGCCGCAAACCCCGGTTGGGTGACGGCACGAAGGGATTTTGCACACGTTAAAAAGGGCTTAAACTAAAATTGCATATGTTGATAAATCATAATAATATATTAGTGTTGATAACATATCATAAAAAACGTTGTTGATACAAATGCCAATGACCTGTCATGTAAATGTCATATGCTAATAATCGATGTATTATTAACATATGACATTTACATGACAGGTCATGACAGGTCATGACATGATGAAGGCAGGTAAGTAGTTTTTAAGCCAAAATAATATATTTTCTACGATTTGTTTTGTGGTATGTATGGAATAAAATTATGTCTCTGTATAAATGAAATACAACGAGAGAATCGCTTATATCGGTGTTCAAGAGGCCACCATGGGCGGCCTAAATGACCCGAATGTGTCGACCGAGCAAAATTTAGCTATACTAAAGCAACAAGTGAGCTGCAAGGTCACTGATAATACAGTACGATATTTTGTTTTCCAGCTAAATATTAAATTCAAGTTTTGAAAATTATCGAAATGGAAATCTCAAACATGTAATTGAAGACTATAAAAGTGTTCTAGTGAATATAATATAATATAAATATCAAGATAAAAGTAGTGTAGTATACTATACTACTACGCCTAATAAGAAACCTATACTGAAAAATGGTGAAATGGAAATATTCTTATTATTCTTTTTGACGTGACAACGTCTTATAAATTGGTTTGCCGGGTGACACTTCAAGAAACTGCGTTACGCTCCGCTCACGTTATGCGCTCACAATGAAAGCGAGTGAGAGGCACGCGTCCCTTCCACTCGGGCATGGTTAGCCCGCCTAAGAGCGAGAGAGACAGACATAAAAAGTGAAAGGCACGCGTCCCTTTTTTAAATATAATTCTTTGTATAAATAAATGTTTTAAATTGTTACTATTATTTCATCCTTCTTCCTACTATACGAATGAATATTCACATTAAAATTATTTTACCACTCAAAGTCGTTGTCACGTAAAACTTTCGCCCGTATACCGACTTTACAGGCAACCAATTTTTTTGGATTTAGGTTTTTTGTACAACTTTTTTTTTGTTCTTATATATTTATTATCCTATTAGATGCATGAAACCTATTTTTATAATAGTAAAGAACAAACAACTAGTAATAAACATCACTACTGCCACCAGAGGGTCATTGATTCTATATCTCTCATAAACCTACTGACTACAACATTGTAATGAGTTTAGAATATAATCTTCTAATCTCCCTAGCCTCCCTATAGCTATATATCCCTAGATTGATGATATATATATTGATGATAAATCTATATAATGATAATCTAATCTATAGAATGATGATATAATCTATAAAAGTCCATATATACTCAAAAACGTCATAAAAGTAAAAAAAAATACTTCAACGGGACACAACCTATATATGGTCAGCATTTCGTAAATAACATCATCGTCACTGGTACGAGGTTATTCATAATTAGTTTGTTCTTGAGTCTAATCGGTATCGGTAGTCTCCGGATAAAAATGTTAATAACAGTTATATTATTTGGTGTGATATTAATAATTTCATTTGCTTATTTTAAAGGCAAATATAATCAAAAGTACTGGAATAACCTTGGCGTGTCTTTTTACTATAAAAGTAAAGCCGGCGGTCCTTTTTTGGATTTTATTTTCGGCAACAAAGCTCTGTTTCAAATTTTCAGTGATATATATAATAATAGTGGGAATGTATCCGCTGTTGGACTCGGATCTTTCTTTGACAAGGTATTGTATGTTAAGGATCCAATAAACGTGCAACACATTACCCAAATAGATTTTAACTCATTTTACCACAGAGGTGTTCCTATATGTGACGATGACCTTCTGGCTGATAATATATTATTCAATAATGGTGCAAAATGGAAATTACTTAGAAAGAAGTTGACTCCACTTTTTACCAGTGCCAAGTTGAGGAATATGTACTACATTATTGATAAGAGCGCTCAAGACTTTGTGGAATTTCTAAAACTAAATCCCGATAAACTAAAAGGAGAAGCCCATTCAATTTATGATACAATCACACACTTTAATTCAGCAGCTATTTCTGCTTCTGTATTTGGAATTGAAACAAAATCAACTTTCGAGTCACCCTTCCGTGAAATGATAGTAAAAGCTATTAAACCGTCATTAGATCTAAATTTGAAGTTCGCAATAGGTGCAATCAGCGAAAAATTGTACAAAGTGTTAAATTTGAAATTATTTAATAAGCATGAAAGTTTTTTCATCGGAGCTATGAAAAAAGTCATTAAAAATCGTAAAGAAGAAGAAATAATCAGACATGACTTTGCAGATTTATGTGTAAAGCTCCAAAAAGAAGGCACAATGGTGGATCTTGACAATAATTTATCTATAGAACCAACTGACGAAGTATTAGCTGCTGAAGCATTTTTTTTCTTTATAGCTGGCATTGAGCCTTGTACAGCTAGTATGTTTTCGACTATGATGGAAATGGGACGGCATCCAGAAATCTTAAAACGGGTTCACGAGGAAGTTGATGCTGTTTTCGAAAAATATAATTATCAGCTTACCTTTGATGCAATTGCGGAAATGGACTACTTGGATAGAGTCCTAAGCGAGAGTTTGCGTATGTATCCTCCGCTCGGCTTATTATCAAGAAAATGTATGCGAGATACTGTTTTACCTGTTGGTAATGTTCCTGTTAAAAAAGGAGTCAAAGTGTATTTCCCAGTTTACGATTTTCATTATGACCCGAAATATCATCCTAATCCAGAAGTTTTTAATCCAGACAGATTTTTGAAAGAGGAAGAAATTAATGATTTGACATACCTTCCATTTGGTAGAGGTAACAGAATCTGTATAGGGGCAAGATATGCTCGTTTACAAGTTTTAAGTGGGTTAATGCATTTTCTCAGACATTATACTGTGAAGACTCATGAGCTCGAGGGAGGTATACAATATGAAAGATCACCAATGCTAGTGAGACCTAAAAATATACTTATAGAGTTTATTCCTAGAAGTTGAAGGTATGTTTATTAACCAACAGCGACATATGCTGACCACATGTGAGTACTTCAATAAAATTGTTAAATCATATTTATGACAGTCCTTTTACTGTAGCCTCTCTTTAGATTTTAGTTACTTAGATTTTTAAATTTTAATATAAAATGTTTTGTTCGCTATTAGCAGTTTTATTTAACCTTAAAATATTCATAGAAAGGAAGGTCTTTCTGTTTTACTTATTGTCAGATAGTTTTTAGCTAATTTACAGTACAGTAATACAATAGTACAGCTATTATGTAATGCCAATGCAATTAGTTGATTATATTTATATTTCCTATCGCCAAATCATCAAGTAATTACGTGTTTAATACGAATTTGAATGTTATCACCTCGGTAACCAGGCGGCCAATAAACAATAATCTTTCCTTTAAATAAATAGATATTAGAGATAAACGATAATTTGTTGTTGTTCTAATACTCATTCGCTTCTAAAACTCATCAGTCGCTATTGAACAAGCAACAGACTCAAATCGCAAACAAAAAATATTGAGTTCTGGATTCTTTTGTGTTTAAAGAACAAGGTACATTTTATAATTAATAATGCCCAAACTATCACAAAAGTTCCAAAATGCCTTATAGTTTTAATAATGTTATAAATTTACAAACGAATGCATCTTATCTAGACACAAATGAGACTGCAAATTAAAAAGTCTTTAAAAATAAATACTAGGTTTGGCTGCGGTCGAATTCAGTAATGATAAGTTTTTATCATTAATTGCGTTGACGTAATTGGTGCTAATAATAGGTATTTACCTATGAAATTGCCGTTTTGTATGCAATAAGTGAAAGTACTTATTTTTTCAAACTTTTTTATTTCTGTTATTCGAAGTAATCACCCATGCAATCGACGCATCTTTGCCAACGCATTGGCAGTTTATTGATTCTTGTAAAAATCAGCTGGACGGGAGGCAACAAACTCTTCAAAGGCATTTTGTACTGCCTCTCGGGAATTGATTTTTTTACCCACTAAAAAGTTGTCTAAAATTTGGAAAAAGTAATAGTCGGTAGGTGCAAGGTCTGGTGGTCACATCTGCAACCAACTTTGGTCAATCGGTCGTCCCCACTGCTCCTTCACGACAACGCGCGACCCCATACTGCGCAACAGACAGTCTCCAAGCTGCAAGAGCTGGGGTTGGAAGCTCTCCCTCATCCGCCATACTCACCAGACCTTGCACCTACCGACTATTACTTTTTCCAAAATTTAGACAACTTTTTAGTGGGTAAAAAATTCAATTCCCGAGAGGCAGTACAAAATGCCTTTGAAGAGTTTGTTGGCCCCCGTCCAGCTGATTTTTACAAGAAGGGCATCAATAAACTGCCAATACGTTGGCAAAGATGCGTTGATTCCATGGGCGATTACTTCGAATAACAGAAATAAAAAAGTTTGAAAAAATAAGTACTTTCACATATTGCATACAAAACGGCAATTTCATAGGTAAAGACCTATTATAACAGTTAATGGTCTGCTCTCTGGGTATTCTTATAATTTTTTTTGTTTACTTTTGTCAATGGTGATTGATTTTGGTATCTTTGTTTATAATAAACACTATGCGCACTATATAACAGATAAGTAGAAAACGAACGTCTGACGTGTTAGTCAAATTAGTGTTTACAAATATTTACAGCTAGCTAGTAGGTATGTACATTGACTTTTGACCTTGGGCGTTATTCCTATCACACATAAATACTATGTTTTTAATACTTTACTATTTATTTGTTTGGCGTCTTGGTCTAGTGGGTCAGTGATCCTGACTGCTAATCCAGGGCCTCAGTTTTGCTATTTTATGTTAACGCCAAGACACTGCGATTTTTAGTTTAGTTTAGAGAGTTTTCGAACAACAGAATTAGGTAGCACCACTGTCATTCCATTGACATCGGTCAAAATATAAGACCAAGCGTAGGTTTTGTGTGTAAATGCTGGAGGTTTTTATTTTCTTAAAAACTATTAGTTAAACAATTACAACTTCTGTACAGTTTTAGGTTGTAAATAAATTTTGTTATACCATTATTTTTTAATCATTAAAATTAAATTTAAAAAGAAGTGACGTGCCTTTCGGTCTAGTTGTTAATGACTTCCCTCCCAGACCAAACATTTGTGTGATGAGCATTGTTTGTTCCGTGTCAAAGTGTAATTTATCTATTATATGTATGTATTTAGAAATATATAAGTATGTTTATCAGCAGTCTGGTTACCATAGTACAGGCTCTGTCTAGCCAGATAACCGTGTGTGAAATATGTGAGGTTATTATTACTATAATAGTAATAATAACCTCACATATTTTATTATTAATTCTTTTGTATTTTTCCTCAGTCAAAAATAAATGTTACTGAGATTGATTTTCAAATATACGTGGCAACATATTATTTACTTCTACAATGTTCGACTGTTAAGTATATTACGTAAGTACAAGGTTAAGGCATTGAAGAGGTGCTCAAAATATTCAGAAGCTACGTGCCTGCTCGGTACTGTGTGTTACCTACTGTATTATGCAGTGTTATACGGAAGTTTATTGAACTTAGCAACTACAATTATAGTTTCTGGGGACTCGACTGTTAATGTCTCTTGTTTTACTGTATTGAAAAATAAGGCTCAGAACCCACTGGTCACCTAATATTCCTCTCCCGGAATAATAATAGGTGGTGACCTCCCGGTTGGTGACCAGTCAATATTAGTTTATTTTAAAGGTACCTCATCTCTCCTACTCATCCCCTGGAATAAAAGTTGTAGATTTAGTGTATAGAAAATTTATTTCACCCGTTCTTCATTCCCCTATGTCAGGGATATTTCTTCTTTAAATAAGATCAAACAGAAACTTTTACCCACCCATAAAAAAACATTTTCCAAATCGTTTAATTAATGACATGTAACATAACATGTAACGTAACATGTAAAAAATTTCCCTTTTGAATTCGGTTAACTACAATTACATATTATAGGCAGATACTGTATTTTAATGTCATTTTTTTTATCACAATGTAAAGGAAACGATACAACAACATAATTGTCAAACTAAATTCAAATTTAGGAGCAAGTAAACATAAACCTGACAAATTAAGATAACATGTTTCAACTATTATAATTACGGATGCCTTTAAAATATATAAACATGTGTTCCAGACACCAGCATTGCTAAATATTTGATAGAAAATAGACACTACAACCTCTCATAATATGACTTAACTTAATAAAGAAGAAGACAAGAGCTCTACTTTATTCTAACGCGATATCATTCCACTCACAGATAACCGAAGTTAAACAGTATTTTCGTTACATTTCACTGAGTAGTAAGGTTTTGGTAGTCAAGTCCATTGCCGTAAATCTGGAGGGGCACTTAAATTGCCCAAAGTAAATTCAAAAGACCTCGATATGTCTATCAAGAGATTTAATCTTTAAAAGAAATAGCTTATAACTCATAAACTTCCGCATTCCATGATATAACATACTACCGGTATGCTACGCCTCACTTATATTTCCTTGTGTGTCCACTCCTTGCAATTAATTCAACCTTGCCTTCTCTGGCACGAACGCTCTGCCTCTTAAAATTCTTTAGCCGCTATTTCTTCAAGACGAAAGTGCGGGCGCTTGTTTTGAATACACCATTGTTAAATTTTATTGGTGCATAAAATTTCAAATAAATAAATGAATAATTATGCGTCTCATTTATTATATACCATGTCAAGGAGCACTGTCAGTGTTCAGTGCAATTTGGTCAAAATGTCAGGCACGGAATAGGAACCCGTTACTTGATAGATTTAATGACCGTGTATGAACATGTAAAACCAACTCTCATAATGTTTTTAATAATCATACCGCAGTGTGTATTTGTTCACATTTCTATTCGTGAATAAAATAACTACTACGAGTAACAATAATCCATGGTATCATCAGTCAAATACATTACACCAGCGCTTTCATACTGACCACTAGTTGAGATGGGCAGAAAGACGCGAAAAAGCAATATGTGTCGCGCTTGAAGAGGGTGCCCAGTATTCTTGGCAGCTGAGTTTCATTACTGTCCGACTGTACACCTGTCTGACTTAGTTGCTGTTTTGTCGTGATATTGTGAACTTAGGTTGCTTCCATAGTACCATATGGTATTCTTACCAGATAAATAGTTCTTTTATGAAGAACTAGCTGACCCGCGCAACTTCGTCTGCGTCTCTCAATAGTAATAAATTTTCTCCGTTTTCAAAACATTCTTCATTGGTGCTCCGCTCCTATTGGTCTTAGCGTGATAATATATAGCCTATAGCCTTCCTCGATAAATGGGCTATCTAACACTGAAATAATATTTTAAATCGGACCAGTAGTTCCTGAGATTAGCGAGTTCAAACAAACAAACAAACAAACTCTTCAGCTTTATAATATTAGTATAGAATTAGGAATGTTGGTAAAAGTATTTCAAAATTCTAATGACATCTTGTAATGATTTCTTTATAGTGACATGCATTTGATACACATGAGTCTTGGTGAAATTAGGTGAAGTTAAACTAACTTACATAAAATTGAAGAATAGTTGATTTATCCTCATTGTGCACGGACTGACTGTCCGGTTCGGTCCATAACCGCATAGATGGCGCGGGGGTTTTAGCGGTAACCACGCCGCTTCGTAATGCACTGTGTTGTGGGTCTGATCCACAAGTTTTTGTTCCGTGTCTGGTTGTTCTTTGTGTCCGTTTCATGTCACATCACATCAACATCATATCAACAGCCTATACTAGTCCACTGCTGGACATAGGCCTCTCCTTAGAAAGGAGGTTTTGGCCTACTATACCACGCTGGCCAGACGGGTTGGTACAGGGTTTGTTTCAAGTTTTCCTTCTCTTTGCAGTGCTGTTGTCCTGCTTAGTTTGGTCCCTTAGTCGGCTCTTACGACACCCACGGGATGAATTGGGGTGGTGACAATTTGTATTCTTAATCCGTCACCACACGGACCGTTTCATGTACACAAGATATATT